TATATATATATATGTGTATAATAAATATATTTATAGGATGAGTTATTTTAATCGAACCAAGTAAATATCTCGACAAATACGTATGGAAGATGCGGAAAAATGTTTAAGACATAAGTTATATAGTTTAAAGGGGAACATAAAATGGTATCATTGATTTGACCTTGGAGGTCGTTTGGAAGTCAATTTCTTAAATGGAAATTTTGCCCATTTTTCATTGCATATTCTTGTAACTTATCTTACTGATGCCCTAGGGCATCTCGTCATTTATTATTTTTTAAATAAGAAATTTTTTCCATTGTCAATTATCAATATTACAGTCGATATAAATCGAATCTAAAAATACAAAATGATTCATAAAAAAGATTAGTTGGAAAGCAATAATTGATATTTTATTATATTTTCAACTTTTCATATTTTTCACAAGATTATTAATCTTTTTGTAATGAATATCCTAATAAAAAATATAATTTAATTAACGTTTTTGTGTCAATATTACTCGCATTTGATCCAATTTGGAATTAATTTTTAAATTATTGAAGCATAACTGACAGTGATTTTATAACGAATAAGGATTTTATTCATTTTTATCAATGATGATTTATATCAATGTACCAATTTTTCCTTCAGTCTGCGTTATTATAATAATCATTTTCGGTTTCTACGAAGAAAAATACATTAAAAAAACGTAGAAATAATACTATCCGAGTAGTCGCAAAACCACATAAAATTGGTATCCGCCTTTCAACACTTACGATGAATTCGAAACACAGCCGAAGATACCAATTGCCACTGATGAGATTTAAAGACAGTCGACGCTTATGGAAATTCGCGTGCCTTAAAATTTAAGTGATTAAAACTCAACGTTACTTTGACTTTAAGCAAGGCTTAAAACTCTCGCTGTCTCTTTCGTTTTAAAACAAAACAGAGAGAGTTTTAAATCTCGTTTAAAGTCAAAATAACATTGGTGTAATCGGGCCTAAAAGTAAGAAATTAGTAATACGGTATTAATTTCATGATTTATTAGTTTCGTAAACATGTACATGTACAAATATAGATTGATCTTCAGCCCTTTCTTTCACTGATTTCTTCTCCTTCATTTACCTCATAAAGGAATAGATTCGTGAATCTATCAACCATTTCCATACTTGCTAATATACAAAACTTTTTACAATTAAGAGATAATTTTTCCTTACTTTTGAACAATAGATTAAATTTAACGGTCGATCTTATTAAATGTATTGAAAGTAATATTTACAAATTGCTTATTGGTTGAGGATCTCAATCTAGAACGACTCATTTCCTATACTAAAACTTCTTGTTCCCTACGGAGGTTTATCTTGTACGGAGGTAGATAAGAGTTTGTCATAGCTAGCAAAAAACACTAGGATTTTTTTAAGGGATATGAATGATAGGATTATTTTTACTCGCGCGGATAAGGGGAATGTAATGGTAGCATTGGATAGATGTACATTTCCAGGATAAATGAGATGCTTCAGAATATGAATACTTATGAGATAGTTAAAAGACAAGGAGGATGGTAACGGATTTATGCGCTTTATTAATTAGTTGAGAGGAAAAAAAGTATATAACTAATTTCACATGTAAAAGTTTGTTAAGTAAGTAGTGATGAGATACTTCGGAGAGTAGCCTACTCTTCCGAAAATATATAAGCAGGACTGTTCTTTTCGTATAACAGCCTTATCACATAATATTTTTCGATAAATAGCCCTTTGTATTCGTGTTTCTTCATAATATTATCTAGCAGTGTTTCTTCATAATATTATCATAAAAACAATTCCTAAGGCAGATAGTAAGTCATAGAAAATAGTTTTAAACTTGTTAAGGAACTTGATGATAAAGATGTTTGAGTGATGAATTTCAGTTAATGTCTCTGGATGTTATCAGCCTCTTCACTAACGTCCCCATTGATTATGCGATGAACTGTTAAAGACCATTGGCGATTTATTTCTAGAGATTGTAGAAGAGGAATTCATCAAAGCGGTTCAATTTGTTTTAAATTCTACTTTCTTTGTTTTTGATAGTGTTATATATAGGCAGAATTACGGGACTCCTATGGGCTCTCCGTCATCGCAGATCTAGTTACGAAAGCTGGAGATTAAAGCTTTATCTTTGATTCGGTTTTCGTTGGCCTTTTACTATAGATTTGTTGACGACATATTGACATATTATTGATGACACCTGCCGATTAGTTCCATTCTTAATATTTTTAATTTTTAGCATCCTAGGCTTCAATTCGCTATGAAGATGGGGAGTAATAGATTGAATTTTTTAGCTATTACAATGATTACAAATGATTAGAGATAATGAGTTGATAGAATTCAATTAGTATCACAAATCGGAAATGAATACCCTTTACCGCGTGAAATCGAATATTGTTTATAAGATTTCGTGTATAAGTTGCGATGCAAATTATGTGGGACAGATGTGTAGACAGCTGAAGTCAAGAATCACGGAGGATAAGAATCACATCCGATGGAATATCTCTATTCATAATGTCATAATAGAGCATCGATGATAAGAAGGCATGATTTCGATTGACACAATATTACAATATTGGATAAGGAGCTTCACTATAGGAAGAGATTGATTTCGGAGATGATATTCATCAGGAGATAGATGCATGGATTCAATCTGCAGACGAATATGGAGGGGTTTTCCAAGGCCTACCTCCCGATCACAAGTTATAAAGGCTAAATTGAGTTGTTGTCACGTCTAATCAGTCAGTGTCGTTCGCAGTAATGAGTCTTTCTGGCATGTTTACTTTCTAATTTTCTTGTTCTTGGAATTGATTAACGCTTTAATGATACGTTTTTCAATTTATCTTGGAAAATTACTAACTAAAAAAACAAAAAGTGTTTCATTGTATTTGATACTGGCCAACATTATCAGGAGCCTTGAATTATTTTTATAGTAATGTTTGCTATATGGTACTCTGTGAGCATGGTGAACATCTTTATATTTGCTGAATAATTAATAATTTTTATAATCTTAAAATTATTTGATAAATTAGTTTTCCATATTCTATTTCCTAATTTCTTTTTTTCTTTTTTTCCTTTTTCTTTCACTCTTTTTTAATTCCGATATTTAAATTTTCGATGTAGGGGAGCTCACCATGACAAGATAATTTTTATTCATAGTTTTTGTACATGTTGGTTTATGTTGTCTTTGAGAAAGGCTCAAAAGTGAGCCGAAACATGTAAGCGCGTTATAGTGAATAAAGAAGTTTCATACTTCATAGATACATTATTTGCGCGACGTCTTCTGCGCTTAATTCCTACTGCCATCCTTTTCAGTTCTTTGATTTGTAAGGAGTCTTGGTTAGTTTGTTATGCACATGTACATATATATTTAAAACTTAATAATACTCAATTTTTATTTAAAACTGTGATTTTAATGTAATTATCCGAGGTTGATTATCAACAGAGATGATAACTGCAGAGACAAAATTGTAAGTTTCCAGCAATATATTAGATATTATAGTATTAAAAATATGCACTTATTTCAATACATCATTTACATAATAAAAAATCACGAATTTAATAGTATATTATTGAATATATTTTTAATATAATTATGTTAATAATCGTACATTTTATTAATTTTCGGTAACGTCATCATTCTTCAATTATTTCCGGGCCTCCTGAGTCATTGATGGTCACGAAAATTTGCCAAGGTCGACGATCTTTAACAGTATCTCGTCGGTGTGATTGCGAATCGAGACTAATGTTTATCTCGAGATCTCGTAAATTAAATAGAATCCAGACCGATCAAACAAGCGCGAGTAAATACGAACGAACAGTTTATCGTGAGACACGTCATTCATTGAAATGAATTGTTCATATATTTGCTAGGTTTAGCTTCAATTTTAAACCATTATGAATCGACAAATTATTTTCTGAATGCGCCAAGTATTTAGTGTCTGCGCAAATCATAACAGAATTTAAATATACTTCTTTATTAATGGTCAGAGCGTATGAATTATCGCGTTTTACAAATGAGCGAACTGTAGTTTGCCATAATGCGAATACGTGTCTAGGCAAATAAACGAAGAGTATAATTTATCATTGATTCTCAACAGTTCTTGATACAATTTTTTTATTTTACAGTGCTCATCTAGGGATGGCTGCCCCTAATTGGGTGACTGATTTTACAAACAATATCAATAGAGAGGTAATGAGTTTAACGAAAAATTTGGAAACACAAATAAATTATACAGTACAACAAACGCTTGCGGAAGTCAACAAAACACTCGAAAATCTACCAAGAGGTAATTAGTCACAGAATATTTTACAATATCTACTTATGTTTATTTGATTTAAGAACTGCATTAATATATAATAAAAACAGTCATACACTTAATAGCATAATTTAATTTTTATTTAATTTAAATGAATAATCAAAAAGTTCAAAAAATTTGTAAAAATAAATTAAATGCATTATGTATATATAATATACATTTTTTATGCAACTAATAAATCTAAAGGATATAATAGAAATCATCGCAATAGGGGAGAGTAGCCTAAATTGGACTTATTTGTAGTTTTTACTCTCTATAAGGCATAAATAAAGTCCGATTAAAACCAAAGATGCCGTTGGAAAAATTATTTAATTCTTTTCATTTTTGATCCATTTTGACATATTTCTTACCTATTGAATTATAATGGAAAATGTAAAAACACTTTTAGTTCCAAATCGGATCATCCTCTGATCCAAATCAATCCTCCTATTTTTACTGGACTTTTAAATAGAATTTTACAAGATTTTAATTTATTTTTGTTAATATTGAGCAAAAATAAGTAATTTGATTTAATCAAAGATATAAATTTTCAGAAAAAAATTATTAACAGTTTATATTTATTATGTCAAAACTCCGGGCATGGAGTTGAGTATGAATGGATCGGTTTAGAGAAAAAACGAATTAGAAGGATTGAGTATAGAAGGATGTTAGAACAGACGCTTTGTCTCATGCATGCCGCGTGGATGGAGCGAGTCGAACGCATTTAGATGACTCCGAAACGTAGATTAATGTCTAGATAATACGCTATAACTCAAGTTTTAAGAGTTGTATCGTGGGTCCTCTTTTGGGTCAAGGAACTGAATCCCTTTTACTCGGGACCGTGAATCTATGTTAGCAAGATGTAA